AAGTCACAGTACTGAAACTCACTGGTGTGCTAGTTTTGTTTTACATCATTCATTCCCCCTGGGATATATTCCAGACCTTTTCCTGCTCCTTTACAGTGCGCCTTCTCCCAGCAAGAAACATCACCTCCAACTTGCAGAGATGACCAGGACCCTATGACATGAGTGCTATCGATGCCCATTCTCTTCACCTCAGAGCTGCTCTCTCTTTCCAGGGACTCTGTGTGTGGGGTCTTCAGGGACTAGCTGGAGCCTGCGGTCTTGCCCACACACCCCAGCAGCAGAAACCTCATCTTCCTCTGATCCCAAGAGGGCCTGTTCTCTCTGCAGTTTATTCTGGTCTTAACATATGCTGCCTTCCTTTTGACTTAGGTTCCCTTGCCTCTGGGTTCAAGGATAATACAGTCCACCTGAAAGATAGCAAGTGAACTTTATAAAAGCAAATAGCAATACAGTATGAGTATGCTGGCATTTCATTGATGGAAGATTAAAGTTTACAGATGGACCCCAGCCTCATCAAACTCCTTGATTTTTCAGAGGAGAAAAATGAATACCAGCTCTTAAGTTGTCCGTCCAAGTCTCTTTCCAGTATACCACACCGTCTTCAATGAGTATCAGGTGTTTATGCAAAGTCTGTTTATTCTTCATCCAAACTTACTGTTTTCTTTAATCATTGTCAGAAGAGCTTCTAGAGTTCCATTTTACCTCGTAGCACACTCATCATAGTATCTTCCGGTCTAATACAGGACCCCACAGGAATTTCACACCACCTTCTTCGCATCCTGAGCTTTATAGGCAATATGCTATACTTAGGAGTCAGGCTCTTCAGAATTTCCATCCCAGCTATACCCACTTACCAGAACTACGCAGCTTTAAGGAGGCATGTTTTTAACCTCTTTGAGCCACATTGTCTTCAACTGTATAATGGGTTTAAATTCAGTAACGTGTGTTAAGTGGTTTCAGAGTGTTGACAAATAGTACTTACTAGTTTTAACAGATGACCACCCTAATCACAGTTATGTCGGCAGTGCCTGAGAGTAGCCCAGGTGCCCTCACCCCTTTACCCTTTCCTGCCTTTCCAGCTCTCATCTCCAGGTAACCCCACACACTGTCCTCACCTCTGCCCCAGAGCTGCTCATTTTAACTCTCTTGGCTGCCTACTTAGTGTCCAGTGTTTCAAAGTTCGCACTCCCAGCCCACACTCTCTCTCCAGAGCTCATTTTTACCTGTACTTCTCATGTGGCTTTATGGTGGCACCGTCATTAAAACATGTTCAAAACCAAACTCATCAGCTGCTCTCTTATAAATAAATGACAGCCCCACATTTATGTCAATTATGACAAAGTTTTAACTGTAATGTAATTTTATCAATGAATACAATACTATAAATCATATTTCCATTCTGTCACAGCTGGAGATAACAAGGAATTCTGAATCAACTGTCAATTAAAATTGATTCCAACTTAGTAGGAGAAAGTCTCATGCACAGAGTCAGCCCCCACGCATTTGTCCCCTGGACTTGGAATCAGATTAGCTTTCCCTGGAAGGTGGCACGCCAACTAGAAGGTGGATTAGCAGCAAACAGGGGTTGAATATCTGCCTAGTGTTAATGCTAAACTGGTAAAGAATATCCACAGTGATTTCCCCTCAGTGGAGTAAAACAGCCTTTTCTTATTGAGTATTATATGTCCTTAAAGGACTTTGAGATGGCCTGGGGAACTGAGCCGTGATCTCTAGCTGTTACCCAAGCCAGCCCCACCTGAGAGAGGAGCATATACCTACTAATTCTTATCTCCCAAAGAGACTGAATCGGATAGTGAGACTCAGGGTCAAGCTACCGGGACCCTCAAGCCCATTTACACGGACCATCCCGTGGCCTTGCCCCCTTCAGGTATGCACCTCTGAACAGTGACGTGGCTTTCCCAAAGTGAGAACCAAGCCCACGTCCTCCAGTCTAGCCAAATACAGGGTCTGTCTTTGGCCCTGTCCTCTGACTTTCTTGTAATTGCACACTTCCCATAATGTATCTGTTCAACCTTGCATGCCCTGCGTGTTGAAGCCCTGTACTACTCAGTGCAGAAAACACCACCAAAAGAAGTCCCTGTTATAAAGAATGGATCGTTTTAGGGTGTTCTTTTCATGTTATCATAGAAGAACTTTGAAAATAGGTACCTGTTGATTGAGATCTGCTGTGTTCCAGGCAGTATATTAGATGCCTTACATCGTACATTATCTCATTGTACTCTCATAGCACCCCTATAAGGAGCTATAATACCCCTTCTAAAAGTGAGAAATCTATCATGGTAGATTTAGGTGATTACATATAGTAAGTAGGACAAAATTAGGATTCAAACCTATGTCTGTCTGACATCAAAGCTTTGTAATTTTTTTCCTGTGCTGTGCTGCCTGTGAGAGATGTGCAGTAACTTAGGCAGAATGTCGTTATAATTGTTGTAACTGAATTTTCACTAATAAGTGTTTCTTGAGTGTACTATGTTTAGAGTGACAAAGAATATTTCCAGATCTTTGCTGCCCAGGAGTCTGTAGTTTAAAGGTATATGTGTAGACAAAGAATCACCCTAGGATAGTGGTGGCAGGTGGCAGGAGCAGCAGACGCATGGGAAGAGGACCTACAGTCCACCTGGAAGAATCAGGGAGACTTCACAGTAAGAACTAGCATTTGAGCTAGACTCGAAGGATGAATAGGAATTTCCCAGGTTGGTGAGTTGAGGGAGCAGCAGTGCTTGTAAAAAGAGAACATTAAGAGCCAAGGCAAATGTGGGAAGTAACAGTAATGTAGTACTGCCAGAAGAAGGGCCCCGAGGGATGTGCCAGGAACCGGCTAACAATAGGGTGTGGACCATCCTGCAGAGAAACTTGTTAGCTTTTGTCCTTTGCACAGCATGAGGTCACTGAAGATATTTAAGCAGAGAAATAACATCAGTTTTACTTCTATAAAAATTTACTTTTGTAAAAATATAAAATATGAATCAAAGAAAATTTGATGAAAATAAAGGGATATTTATACCATTTCAGGTGAGTTAGTGGGGGTCAGCACTCAGGCAGCGGTGGGGTGGAGGGGCCAAGGGAAACAGGATGGGCTGGCGCGTGATGCAGTGGAGAACCAAGGGACTGAACCCTCGGTTCACCACATCTGAGTCGTCACAAAACCTTTTCTCGTCCCAGATTCTTGATCTCCCCACCTGCCTTTTTTCTAAATTAAAACAAGATAAGTAATAGTTTTCAATTCATGATACAGCTTTTCATTTTCTTCATGTAAGCAATCACTTTGCATGATTTTTTACATTTTCACATCTGGATCATACAATGAAAAATTGTGGGGAACTCTCATAAATTTTATGAAATCTTTCAACTTCATCATGAAAACTTCAAAGTTAAAAACATATGGTTCATCCATCCAAGTCTTCTAGGACCTGAGCCTTTGGTCTGGAATGTATTTCCAGTCAAGTTATAATGTAAAATCACAAGTAAAATCACCATAGTTACTCTACATTACAACTTCTAACATCCTCATGATACTGGATTAGATATGATTATTCATTTCTCTTTTCCTTTCCTCTTTCCTTAGAGAACTCTCAAGAGTTGTGACTTGTGAACTAATGCTTTTCGTAATCTGCGTGGTGTTCATCACAACCTGCTTGTCTCCTGCACTTCAAAGAAGGGCAGAGTGTTCTGGTCGGCTCTGCCAAGAAATAAGAAAAAGGAGTGGATTTCCCTAGACTTATGAACATGCACATTTGTACATGTACACACATTGCTATAGATACATATTCATCCATATGAGTACATCTCTTGTACCAACACTCAGGTTTATGATGTATAATTAGTGGGCTCACAGGTGCCCAGGACCAATCTGACCATTCATGTCCCCCGTGATGTCCAGGACCACTGGTCCGTTTCCCTGTGATGTGTGTAAAAAGACCACAAGTGGGTTTAGCCACATGTTTCTAAAAACTATTTTACTTTTTGTAAATTAGAGAACATAGAATAAGACATTCAAAACTTAGGAGAAAAATATGTGCCTCAATGGTAGTAAGTGATATGGCAAATTAATTTTACTAAAATACTATACCTTAAAAATTATTTCTAAACATCTGCTAATAGATTTTGTATAACACTTGATAATATGTTACTGTTGGTGAGATATTTACTATTAATATCATTTTAAGCATGTACTAGATACATCTGATTTCTCTTACCTTCATCTCTTTATTTCCCAAAACGAGAAGACACTCCTAAAACTGTGTAAAGTAGCTGCCTTGAAACCTAATATTAACTTATATGTCTTTAAGTCAGCATTCGTCAGAATCTTAATTTAATTGAAATAGTTTTGCCTATGTAAACTTCTCCTTTGTTTAAATAAGATTTCACTATTTAGTTTTGCCTTAAGCAAATGCAGCATTTGTTTGTCCATAAAACATTAGATCAAATGTACAGACTAATATGAGTAGCTTCTAATCATTCTGCAGGCATTACTGGCAGTTGCCCCCTTTGCTAGTGTGTTGTGCATTACTTGCATTGAAAACAAGGGTTCTGTCTTTAGCCTTCTTTGGGGGAAAAATAAACTTTTTGACAAGGAAACCTCCTATCACCTTACCATTACTGATTTTAATTTGGAAATGACTGCCTGAATTTACTCTGCCAATACTCTGATACAGTGAATTGTATAGGTATCTGCGTGTCAAGTACACTGAGTTTTTCTCATTTTATTGTTGCATACTAGTATTACCTGGCTATCTTTGCTGCCCTACAAAAGCTAAATATTTGGCACTTTGTGGGAAGTATTGTGCAATAAATGCTGTGGGAGATTGTTCCCTTCAATCCAGCTGTAGCTTATTTTCTGGTTTTGATTTACTTATATATTTAGAGGTACAATGCTTGGGAGTTTTTGTTTCTTTTCTGTGAAAGCTGACATCAGATCCCAGTGCAGAGGGCAAGCGCCTTCATAGTGCTCTTGTAACCTGTGCATTTTTCCCACTCAGGCAATGCTCGATGTGGCTGCAGACCAGGGCTGGCTGGTGACCGCCCTGGGCATCACCAACCTGGTGCAGATGGTGATCCAGGGCCGGTGGCTGAAAGACTCTTCTCTTCTTACGATCCCAAACATAGAACACCAGCATCTTCACATTTTCAGGTAGTTGTTTTAATTTTCATTGTAACTGTTTTTTAAGTTTCAAAAAATTATTTCGTTTATACATGTGGTCACTTGATTTTCAGGTTGTATCTAGAATATATTGATTCTTTACGTTAAAAATGTCCTTGCTTCCCAGAGGGAGATGTGGCCTAGTAAAGTAACTTTCTTGCTGGGAATTTGATCCAGTGCCAAGCTCAACCACAGATCATTTTAACCTTCTATTAAATTGTTTTCCACTTGCATATTGGGTACATTTCTATTTTAACTGTGTTATTCCTTTAGAATATCAACCTTTATTTTAAAAGATGCTAAATTGCTTTGTGGCCTAAAGCAAGATAAATGACCAATTTTTGTTACTGCAGAATAGATTTGAGGGGTCTGAAATCCATTGTAAAATGGATCCTTTATAAAATGGACAAGTAAATTGTGCATCTACAAAATGTCCAAAGCTGGATTTCTATATTAAGATATAACCTGCGCTTAAAAGTTGAGTTTAAATTATCATCAAATTATTTTACCCTTAGGTGCTAAGTACACGGCTGCAAATATTTTAGCAAGGAAAAGAACAGTTCATACCACAAGCCACGTTGGCAATGTTTCTTTCACACCAGTGTCTCCCACCAGTCGGGAGACACTTTACAGCCAAAATGTTGGTTCACAGTCACATAGACAAGCAAAACAGTCTGACTACAGTTTGCTCTCCTGTACCCTCTGCCTCTTGTCAGGTGGACTAGGAGTGGCAGTCATTTGAGGCATCTGCATACAGATGCCAATCAGAACCTCAGACACACATGGGTTCTCCTCAGCAGAGCCTTCAACTTGCCCCAAATGGGTTCCAGGGAAGTTGTTCCACGATGCTGAGGCCCCACCATGGGCTGTCCCTTGGAAACCGAAAGGCACATTCAGAGCGTGAGGCACACCAGCAGCAGGTGGCATGAGGGGAAAACCAGATACCTCATACGCCTGCAGCTCAGTTTCAGGAGACCTTCCAACATGGCACTAAGTGCCATGGGAGTTGGGTTTCAGTAGTAAAGCAGGCATATGAGGGTGCTTACCCGATGCAGCACACAAGTCTGTTATGGAAGCTCCTGGGGCCTAGATTTGGTCTAGTTCTTTCTTATCACACTGAAAAGTCCTGTATTTGTATAATTTTAACTATATGTTTCTTTTTGCTCTGTAAACAGCAAATACAGAATAAGATTGACGTGAACTATGTTCCTGGAGATCAGCACTATTTATACGGTGAATCTCAAAGATTCCCAAAATGTACTTTTAACTGTATGTTCACACCTATTTAGAGTGAAACTTTATTTGAGTACTTACATTAGAGTCATTTGCCTGCATCATTGAAAACATGCCAGGGCTCTAGTTCAGTACTTAATCCATGCAGAATCCTTAATGCACATCAGTGTCTTTCTAGAGAAGATACCTGCCTCTGTGAACCCTGACTGTGCACTGAGATCCCTGATGAGACACCCATCTTACGGATTGATAGTGATACTACTTTGAGTGATATCTTAAAGAATGCAGGCTGATTTGAAACTTACCAGTAAGGCTGTTAAAAAGTTTACAGTAATCCTAATTTTTAAAAATCATTCAAATGGTATAAGCCACCATTGCCAGGAAATCTCATTTGTGCAATGTAGGAATTACGTGGTTGGTGTTGATACTGTTTCTTAGGAAATGGAGCGCAGGAACGAAGGGCCCACGTGCCGGCTGCCATGGCGTCATCGAGTGCCTCCCTGAACTGATCCAGGCCTGCGGAGGGAAAGACCATGTGTTCAGCTCCATGATAGAAAGTGAGCTGCCAGCTGCAAAAATGAAACAGGTCAGGCCCATCTCTGCCATATTCTGAAGCTCCCTTACTCTGTCTGGAAGTTTATACCTGGAGTTTTCTAACTTAGAGCACTGGTTGTTGGAGTCAGATTCACGTGGATTTAAATTCTGCCCACCATTTACTAATCATGATTATGAATTTGAAAACAGTATAAGTATCTTAGGAAGTTCTCTTGTGAATTAAGCAGGGTATTATTATGTAAACTGCTTTATGTAGTTCCTGATATAGAATAAGAGCTCAGTAAATGATACTAAAAATAAACATAGCAACAATAATTAGAAGTAGCGTTGACAGTATGAGAAGATGTTCCAGTAGCTCGCTGAGAAAAGCCTGCTATAGCTCACCCATGCAGCAGCATTGCCCAGGAAGGGGGACTGCTCATCCCTTCAGGATAGTTTTTCACAATGTACTCAAGTGTGTTTTCGTGCACTTGACTCTGTTACTTTTTTATGTGCCCCCCTTATCTTAATCACTTTGTTGTAACTAGATTCTAAAGTATTCTTTCAAATAAACTCCTCACTTGTATACCATATAACTTAGATAGAAAGCTAAATCTGTGTTGTAAAAGACGTAAGTCATCTCTCCAAACCATCTTTGGAAATGCCAAAAATATGAATGAATAATGACAGAAATATTTGGCATATCTAGACTGTTAAGTCTTAAGCAATTTTACCCTAAACATGTCATAGTAAACATTCAGGATTTATAGCATAATTAACATATGGACTTGTAAATGCAGGTATTAAAATAAAGAAACTTACAAACCATGTCATTTTTTTTCTTAGCGGAACTTATTTTTGAACAAGACTTAGAAAAGGTGTAACAGGCATTAAAGTCTGATTGTTCAATTTCTGTTGAACCCAAAATTGGCACAAAAAACTGTTTAAATATTCACAATAAGTGCCTACCTTTCTAACTAAATTACCATCAAAATTATGAATAAAAACAATGTATTTAAATCAAAGCAAGGCTTCCATTAGCAACAACAGACTTATAACATAGCCATACATTGATTTCAAGCCAAGTTTTAGATGTGATGAAAAATTAGAACATTGTTATAATTAGTTCAGGGAGAACTCAGAAGTAAACTTACTTAATTTATTTGCATAAATTGCCATTCTGTTATCCTTAAAACCAAATGCAAATTGGCTCAGTCTGATATGATGATGGTTATTTGGCTCAAAAGTGCTTCAATATGCAGAGCAATCTGGTGTTGGCTCTGCAGTGAGGCGATCCCAGGTAACATACAAATCCTGAATTATTCCAGAAATTAGTATGTTTAAAGCATCAATTTAAGTGCTAATTGCAGTAGTAATGAGAAAAAGCAGTACGACTGTGAGATTTGCATCTTCTACCCCATCAGTATGCCTGGACCGGCTGCTGACTGGCAGAGGATTTGGCTGCTAATTAAATAATTGTATGCATGGCAGTGTTCCTGCCTGATTCAATAGATGAAGATTAATCCTCAGATAAATATGTTTGGCTGGTATTGAAATGTCTTAGCAGTTTCTGTAAAAATAGCTTATGTTTTATATACGTGTGTGTGTGTGTACATACACACACACTCGACAAATATATGTGTATACAATGAGGATGAGAACTAATAATATTAAGTGCCACAAAAAGCATGCCTATGTATAAAAGCCAGACCTGATTTTTGTAAACTAAAACCCCAATGTGTTGCCAATAACTAAAAACATTGGTGACTAATTGAATAGTACAAGTAGAGATACATACCAAGTCTTACTTTATGTGGTAAATTTTACTTGTGTTGTCTCACAAATGTAAATGCTTTACAGAAAGTGTGTATTTAAGTGTCCCCTTGACCACTGTCTCACTCTGGCCAATGTCAGTGGACATCAAGCGGTAGGCACAGCTTCTAGACGCGGTAGCTGTTGGTCCCGGCAAGGGAAAGGCTATCACTTGTACCTTGAAGCACCTCGTAGACAGTTCTGTGGCTTGACTGTTTCAAGATCTATTCCAGACCTAATTTCAGAATCACAAGACAAGTTATGGGATTGGATTAGATTGAAAAATTTGCATTGGCTTCACATTTTTTAAATTCCTGAGCAGTAATTTGATTTATCAGGGCAACTGTATATTTCAGTAAGGTATACTTAGCAGCATGAAAGTCATCACACACACAGAAATGAAAGCCTGTAAGCAAATCTATGGTATATATTAAAGAAACTTTTTAAAAAAATTCAAGTATTCATGTAGTTTTAAAAACTAACTTAGAAAAAAGGGCTCATGAATGTGGACAACAGTGTGGTGATTTCAAGCACAGGGTGATAAGAAGGCTAAAGAGCAATGGAAAAAATACGATTATAAATAAATAAATAAATAAATAAATAAATGCTAGCTGAGAAATGAACAACTGAAAACCACCAATATATTGAGAAGTTTTCTTCACTAATAGTGATAGTGCCACATAATTATAAATGATAGAAAAAGGTGACAATTAATTATCTGAGGACATCAAGTTTATTTTGTTACATCCTTTCTATAGACTTAGAAATTCATTATTTGTTCAATAATGATGAGCAGTTACTATTTGCATAATAACAATAATGGTATTTTCTACCCCTTCAGTATATATAATTTAATTGGCATTCTCAGTATTACAATGCCAAAAGTAACTATTTGTCTCTAGAAGGAACCGTTGACTTATCAGGCCCCTTATGATATACAGACATACAGAAATGATTTCATTTCAGAATAAATTTATAATATGGACAAAAAACTTTTTTGTAAAATCGGTGGTCAGTGGATGATGCTGACTGACATCAGCAATTGCATCACATTTTTTAAAGTTACTTTTGTATCCCCGAGTAATACTCTCTACCTAGAAGTCCCATAAATATTAGAATAGATGCTTCTCTACACAGACCATCTCAAACAACAAATGTCTTTAAACTTATTCTTTCAATATACTCAGTAGCCAGTCAATATCTAGGAGGGAGTTACAATAAAGTGGTCACAAGTTTAGATAAACAATTCATTTTTAATTGCTTTTAAAAAGGACTTTAACTACAAAGATTAAAAACACATTATTTTTACACACAATGAGTACAAGAAAAACCGGAAAATCCTAACTACAGCTATGGATTGTATTAAACTCAATATCCTGGTATTAATGTTGTACTTCAGTTTTGAAAAATGCTGCCATTGAGGGAAACTAGGCAAACGGTACTCAGGATCTCTCTGTATTATTTCTTATCATTCATTACATTGACTCCAGACTTAATCTCAAAACAGAGGTTGATTGTTTTTTCAATATTCTATTTCTTAGTTGATTAGCTATATTTCAAATTAACCTTCCTTTATTATATTTTTTTTCCAGGCATGGAATTTCTTATCTCACTTGCCAGTGATAGATGTTAGCTTAAGCATCAAAGGCTGGTGGGATGACTCAGTGGAAGGGCACAGTGAACTTTCTGTCACAACTCTGTCTTCAGACAAACGAAATGACAACAGATGGATCACATTGCATGCTGATCAAGAGTATGTGCTTCAAGTCAGCTTGCAGAGAGCCCACTTTGGGTTCCACAAGGTATAGTGTTTGGTTTCCATTCTCAAATGCTTCGCACCAGATACCAGCATGCGCCACCCACATATCTTTTACATTACTAATGCGGCCGTGTCATTCATGAATCCCTCCTTCTCAACTGGCCTTAAGAAGCAAGTCAGTCTTCTGAAATCAGTCGGTCCTCCTCTTGTGCCAATTTTCAACCCCAGAATATCCACCTCACATGATAACATGCTGCCTGGGGTACTGTTCTCAAAATACGGCCTTACAGGCTCAGTCTAGCAGAATTTCCCAGAGTGCCTGTTAGAGTGCAGATTCCTTGGCCCTCCTCCAGACTGACTGCATCAGAATCTCAGGAGGAGGGATCTCAAAGTCTGTGCTGTTGCCCAGCACCCCAAATGACCCTTTAAGGACATTAAAGTTAGAAAAACACTGCCCTAGAAGTACTTTGTTATGCAGGAACCACAACAGGCAGGGTGTAGATGAGAAGCTTCATCACTCAGCCCCATGAATTTGAATAAGACACCACGCTTTTCTGCCCCTCAGTCACCACCTCTGCCTCTTCCTCCCTCCTAATGCATCTGAGAGAGTTTTGTCAGTGTTCATGCAGGCCAAAGATTTACAGTATTTTTATTTTAAATTACTATGCTCTTTTCTGTTGTCTGTGACATCAAAATTAATTATTTGGCTTTCTGAGACGATTCGTACATATCATGTGGGCAGATCAGGTTTCAGTACCATAATAGTTGAAATAAGGAAGAATTTGCCTTCTCTTTAGCCAAGTGGAGTCAGGGGCTTTCCTCCATCTAGAATAAGCCCACAGGAGTGAGGCTGCGGTTCACGCGTACTGTCTCCCCCATTCTCAGACACAACATGGTCAATGACTTTCTGTTGTTACAATGTCGTTTTAGTACTGCACCCTCAAGTCCTGTCTCGTCTGATTTCTAATTCTAAAAACCAGTCCATGTGAATATGAACTGATTGACCTTTGGCATTTCAGAGGCTTTGATGTGAGCATTTGTAGATGACTTAACATATCCCAACTTACCAAAAAAATAATAATCATACAGATGAAATCATGGGGAAAAAATTAAGATTTTTTTACCTTAATATTGCTACTTAAAAATTATATTTAATCATGCCAAAAAAACTCTAAATTTTGTTCAGAAATTCTGTAAAAATACATTACTCTGTCCTCTCTTTTAAAATGCTTAAGTGAAACATGTCCCTCCAGAATGTGGAGTGAGGCCCGATTGAGAGCAGGTCATTGTTAGAATATGTCACTATCACTGCATTTATGCCATAGAGTCATAAAGATTCACTGGAATACAATCTTGTATTTTGTCATCTTTATCTAAAATAAAGACTTCAAGTGCTCTCATTATCATGATATCTAATCTTAGATTGTGGTGATTAATATATCTTACAAATTGCTTGGCTTATAATTGCTCATTCCTCAGAGAAAGGTCTTTTTTAATATTACCTTATTAGAACATGTGCTTTTTTTACATGAGTATTATTCTTGATAGTGAGAAGGTATTTATATGATATAGTGCTTTTTATTTTTATCCTCACCTGAGGATATGTTTATTGATTTTAAAGAGAAAGGAAGGAACAGGGAGAGAGAGAAAAAAAATTGATGTGAGAGAAATGTCAATTGGTTGCCTCCCATACACTCCCAACCAGGGACTGAACCCACAACCCAGGTATGTGCCCTGACCTGGGATTGTCCTAACCAACTGAGCCACCCGGCCAGGGCCAGGGCTGTTTTCTTGAAGTCCAGAGTCCAGGCTTGATTGCTTCCCCTGCCCTCCACTCCCAGTGTCAGTTTCTCATGAGTAAGGCTTTGGAAGATTTGTTAACCTGGTTGTATCTCAATTTGTTCATCTGCAAATGAGATATTAATATCATTTATAAGAATGGTGTAGGAATTGACTAAATTGCTACCAAGATTCAGGGCTTTCTGTTCTCACTAACTGAGCCAAAATATTCTGGTGGATATAGCCACAAAGTACTGTTTTGAGGATCTTAAACAAACGGTAAGCGATAGCATATCTAAGACACCAAACCAGAAAATTGAAAACATCCCAGATAGATACACTGAGTTGTGTGGATTTATGGCCTTCAAGTAAGACAACGTAGCCTTCTAATCACATCCAAGTGGTAGAGAAAATTTAGAAGTTATTAATGCTTTCTCTCTTTTTTCTGGTTAACAGGGAAAGCAAGACAGCCATGCAGTTACCCCTCGGTTTCCCAAATTAAAAGATGAAGGATGGTTTTTGATATTAGGAGAAGTGGATAAAAGAGAACTTATTGCTTTGAAAAGAGTAGGGTATGTTCGAAATCATCATGTAGTTTCCGTCTCTTTTTACACCCCCGAAGCACCGGGAAGGTAAGCAGAATCTACCACTGAAATTCTGAAGGAATGCAGCGTGTCTGTGACTGAAAAGGCGGTTTGACGTTTCCGTTCTATTTTCCTGGTTTAGGTATATCTACACACTGTATTTCATGAGCGACTGCTACCTGGGCCTGGACCAGCAGTACGACATTCACCTCAACGTCACGCCTGCGAGCGTTTCTGCACAGGTCAACGAAGAGATCTCCAATGCCTTGACTGGCCTGGAAGTGAAGTAACCTGACCCGAACCATTATTTGAAAGAAGTGGTTAAGAAGTCTGGCTGTTCATTCAGCTAGACAAAGTCAGATTACATGACGTTTGCCCTGGTGGAATCAACTTTGAACCTCAAGACGCCCAGGAAACTGTCAGTGGCTGCAGTCGCTTTCAGCCCGGGTTAGCCCGGTGGCCTTCCAACAGACGCTGCCTTTTATAATATCATCTCCATGGGTTTTCTGATGTGTAAAATCAATGCCTGTGGAGGAGAATCTTTCCATTTGTGTATTTTGAGATTATTATATAGGAATTATCAGCCACATTTTACATTACACAGTGTACTGTTTATAAGAATATTAGCTTCTTTTCTTTCTGAGGAAAACCACACTGAGGCGTGACAGTGTTCGAATTTGTTTCAACAGATTTCTAACCCTGCAGCAGAAAATATGGAGATGTTGGTACGGCGGCGCACAGTGTGTCTTGTTAGCAAAATTTTTACTTTGCCACATGGACAAATAATTTCAAGAATTTCTTATATTCATAAATGTTAATAATATATGAAGTAAAATTATATTACAGAGCTCAATGTTGAAAACAAAATATGCTGACCCTAGAAAATGTCGATACTGTAACTAGTGGAAATAAAATATTTAGCTTGCCACTTCGAGACAAGCTGACTCAGTTATTTCCCGCTTATTATTATGTTACCAACTCTTCTTTCCATTCTCTTCTACTTCAAAACTTCACTTCCACTTTTTTCTAATGTATTTATTTACCCAAGGATAGAATTACTGTTTAATTTGTGCTGCAATATGTACAGACCACGCAGAGTAATTCTTTGTCTCTACGTTCTCCAAGGTGGGTCTGAGACAAAGAAAATTTTAACCCCTACAGGCCAGTTTTCACCTGTGATAAAGGATATGTCTTTATGTCCAAACAATTTCCATCTTGAAAAACACTTTTTTCAAACTCAAAAATTGTGAGAATTCAATATCCATGTAATAATGTATATTCTAGTGGAGTGAAATTTTATCTTTGCAAAGTACTTTTGGTTATTCCTGACCCTGTGATGAATTATTTTAAAATACCTTCCAGTGTAACCACAACGAGGACTAGAATTTAGGGCTTCTGAACTGAAGGACTGAAAGACTTTCAGAAACCAGAACATATTGCTTGTGTGTACCTCCTTTTCCATGCTAAGAAATTTAAAAATGTTGAAAGGAAAAAAAAAAGGAGGAAGAGAAAAAAATTAATGTTGTGGGGAGACCAGGCATTTACTTCCAAAAATTAAATCTCGATAACTCATCTGAACATGCCAAGTACAGTAGGCATGAGGTGTCTGGAGCTTACTTCATATAAGCAGTTCTTCCTGCGTTTTCTTTGGCATTTTATTTTTTAACTGAAATTCACACCTGAGCCACTTAACTTACCAGTTCATACAAGAACCTGAGGAGAGATGTCTTAGTCTTCATGTTTATGACAGAAGACACAGAAACAGTAAGAAAGAATTCCTGTTATATCTGTCACAGAGAGGAAAAATAATGGGGCCAGTTAAAATTAATTTTAAGTCAGAAGTGATTCGTTCACAGTAAGCTGCAGAAGACACAAATAAGGCAAGGTGCATTTGGATGGAAGTGTTTATCTTACTCCAGTGAGTAACTACTGCTATTTGTCGTCATTCAACCAAAATTGTTATGTTAATGTGCATTATAACTGGACATGTGCCAACATAATCTGATAATTTCCATATTCTGTTTCACATTCCTCTGGCTTTTATGAGCTCCACTGACGTGCCAGTCAGAGACTCATTCTGGGTACTGTGTTGCACACTTTGATGAATCAGAGACATGTCCTTTGCTCAGACAGTGTAGCCTGGTGATGAAAAGAAGATGGAGATGACTATAATAAAAGAAAGCAATTGCAGCAGTAAATTATTATTTAGAAAAATATTTTAGGGACATTTAGGCTGAGTTCTGAAGATGATAGAATGGTGAAGGCAGGGATGAAGGAAGAGAATTCCAGGTAGAACAGCAATAACTGAGTAGACACCAGCCTAACGGGTCCAGTTAGTCTGCATTTTCAGAGACTTGAAAGAGACAGGCAGGCAAGAAGAATGAAAAGTCTGTGACATTACCTTGAAATAGAGGGTAAGGACTACAAATCTCGTGTATGCAATGAAATTCCTTGGCAAAGCACCAGAGAAGATGATGGCAGAAATTCTGAGAGTAGAACAGAGAACCCATGGAGACGTGATATAGCCAGCGAGGCCGTGCTGCCATGCCTGTGGTGGACCGAGGGCACTGAATAAGGGCAAGAGGTCAAGGTGGTGGGAAGCAAGTCAGGAGTCCTGGCTGTGGGTAGTGGGTCTTGAATGATTGCTGAGAGAGTGGTTTCAGCAAAATAGGAAAGGGAGCTTAGATTGCAGGAGATGAGGACCTGAGTGGATGATGAGGCAGGAGAGGCAGAGAATTATACAGCTTAACTTAAGAAAAATGAAGTATGTGATGATAGGGTGGACACTAGTTGGCAAGATTCAGAAAGCCTGTTTCCATTTTCCCTTGTAATCCCCATTCACACACACACACACACACACACACACACACATACACACATTTGCCCTCCCTCACCATCATTACCCCATTAACCTAAAAACTGAAATTCCTTACACATCCCCCAAAATACTTGTGTTGCCCCAAAATACAGTCTTACCCCGCCTTTTTTCTTCTAGACAAGGTAGATTGCACTTGCCTCACAAATAGGTCCTCCTGTACCTCATTACACTTAGGACCACTGGAAGTCAACTGTCAGAATCAACCTCCACAGCCACACACCCTCAGACTCAAGAACATGGGGGAACCTCCCTCCCCAACAAGAGTCACAGCATTTAAAAGGGGAGCACACCCACCTTCTGGACCTGGATAAGAACTCTTCGTGTCCCAGATCCCATGAGTAGCTTTGATGGGAAGAAGATACAATGACATGGGATATTTAGTCACCAAAAATGATGTTTCCTCTTCCCTTTACACACACAAATGGCACAACAGAGGGAATAAAGATTGACCCTCTCCCTCAAATACAACCCTCCCTTCTAGTGAACTACTCCAGTAGCTTTAAAAAACTACACAGCACGCCCCAAGTGCATTCTCCACACAAACTCCCAGTAGCTTTTGCCAAAAATCTTGGAGTCATTCTTGACTCTCCCTTCTTCCCAACCCACATCTAATTTGTTAGCAAACCCTTTCAGCTTTACCTTTAAAAATCCATCTGGAATCCAACCACCTTCACTGCTACCACCCTCACCCATGCCAACTCCTGAGCAGCCTCCCTGCACCTACTCTTGCCCTTCTGCAGTATTTTCTCTGCGTAACAGCCTGTTGAAAGGTAAATCTGATCCTGAACCTGTTCTGTTCAAAGTCTCCCAGTGCTTGTCCATCTCCAAATACAATCCAAAACCCTCCCAGCTCCTCCAAGGCCTGTGCCTCCTCCCTAACGACCTCCTGACCCCATCTCATCACTCTGCTTCTTGGTCACTACATACCAGCCACAGCGGTCACCCAGCTGCCTGCTGTGCACCTTACAGGACCTCTGCTCTTCCTGTGCCCTCTGTCTGGACAGCTCTTTCCCAAGACACCCACAGGTCCACCCATCGTAGTTTAAATGGCAACCCCACCAGTCTTCCACCTACCCCTTTCTTGTTTTGTTTTTCTCCATTGTTCATATCACCACGACAAAAAATATTTGCTTATTGTCAGTCTCTCCTGACTAAGCTTCAGGAAGGCAGGGATTTTTGTTGCTTTTGCTCGCAGCTATATTACCAGGACCTACAACATGGCCTAGCACATGGTAGCTGCTAGATAAATACTTGTTGAGTGACTAAATGAACACAATACGCACATGAATTCTAAAATATGACACACCCACTTGAGTTGATGCCTACACTTCCAGAGATTGCAAGTACTCTCAGAGACTCACCAAGAACAGGCTACTTACCTGATCCTCTTGTGTCAGCATAGGAAAGGGGTACTTAATTGATAGTTTTATTATGATGATGACAATGTATGAAAAAGAATGAAATATTTTTATAGAGCAATGTACCTTGGGATTACAAGTATTTTACGATTTCAAGCTATCATGAAAACTTTTTAGCCTACGTGTTGGCTCTGTCTTCTCTCACCCTTTCAGCACTGCTGCCAACTACACGCAACTACTCAGTGGAAGGGCCCCAATGGGAACTGTGTATGTTTGAATAATGTGAACTGATAATAACTTTGGACCCCTCTCTTTCATAAATAATTCAAAATGAGTAAACAAAAGTTATTTCATGAGTCAGCTTCTTTAAATGAAAAACCTGAATTAACTTTCTAATTGAATTTACCGGGGTGACATTGGTTAATAAAACCATAGGAATTTCAAGTGTACAACTCTGTAACACATCACCTGCATATGGCATTGTGCGCTCACCACACAAACTCAAGTCTCTTTCCGCCACCATTTATCTCCCCTTTGCACTCTTCCACCTCCCCCAACCCCGCTTTCCTTCTGGCAGCAATACAGACACCATACTGGTGTCTGTCTGTTTTTTTTTCCATGATGCCTTTACCTCCTTCCACCAGCCCCTTCCACCAACCCCCCAGCTGTCAGGCTGTGCTCTGTCTCTGTGAGTCTGGTTTTTTTTATTTTGTTTGTTTATTTTATTCATTAGATTCCACATATGAGTAAAATCATAAGGTATATGTTTTCCTCTGACTGGCTTCTTTCAGTTAACGTAATGTTCTCCAGGTCCATCCACGCTGTCACAAAAGGTAAGATTTCCTTCTTTTTTATGGCCAAGTAGTACTCTATCATGTAAATGTACCATAGTCTTTTTTATCTACTGATCTACTGATGGGCACTTGGGCTGCTTCCAAATCTTGTCTATTATAAATAACACTGCAAATGTAAGTCATAATACCATAAAAATCCTAGAATAAAACATAGGCAGTAAAATCTCGAACACTTCTTGTAGTAATATTTTTTCTGATCTCTCTCCTCGGGCAAGGGAAATGAAAGAATAAACAAATGTGTCTGCATAAAACTAAAATATTTTTCACGGCAAAGTAAACTGTCATCAAAATGGAAGACAATCCAGGGAATGGGAGAAAACATTCACCAATGATACATTTGATACGGGGTTAATATTCAACATTTATAAAGAACTTATACAGCTAACTTTTAAATCTTTCCATCAACTTCAAAAGACGTATATTGAGCCCTTAAATTAGCTTTCTTTTTTGGTTTTCAGAAATATAAATTCTAAGTCTAAACAACACAAGGAGACAAAAATTTTGAGTTTAATGAATTCTAGTTACACTATTTCAAGGTTCTCAAAAATGCCGAGAGTGGCCATTGATTCCGGGTTGTCCTGGAACCTTTTCAAATAACGGAGGATGGCTACAGTGACTTCTGGGAAGAGCTTCAGCCTGTTTTCTCTTCATCATGGAGCATTCGGTCCTATTTCTGGAAAATAAACCTCATCCAGTTTGAGACCTTTAAATGGGATTCCAGGGATTCTACTTGGATTGAACCCTCATCCCAAGTCTTTGGCACATCAGTGTGAGAAAGGTCTTGGGGTGCTAGTCACAGGTTGGGTCCAGTCTCACCCAAGGTAAGCTTTGAG